GACTCCAATATAGGGGATTGGGTAAGGGACAGGCTGGACTGGCATTCTAGAAGTTTCACACAGGCCACACCAGAGCTGCCGGGGCCAGGAGAGAGCTGCCAGCACCACTGATGAATGAGGCGGCGGGAAGCAGGCCCCGGACACGGATTATTCCCGTGTGCATGGGGAACAGCCCTCTTTGCACATAGCACAGTATCGTCCCCAGGGCTGATGTCATCCAAGCCCCTCACCCACCCCCGCTCTATGGCAGGAAGGATGAGGCCAGGCAGGAACAGCTTCTCCCTGCAAGTGTGTCCACCCTGTTTGGGACAATTTTCCTGCTGGAGCTGGACACACACAGAACCTTTCCTCAAGACCGCCAGGGCCACGAAAGGTCAAGGGTGAATGTACTTTGTAATTCAGCCCTGCTAGAAAAGAAATATCCTGTATTGTGGGAGCCACTGAAATCTTCAGCCAGGGGTGCCATCTTCACCTCCCTACGCATTCACCACTCAGGTCTGCAGCTTCAGGCCGAGCCTTCAAACCCATGTCCACATCCAGGTTGCATCCATAGGAAGAGGGAGGAGGCCGGCCGAACCCTCACCTGGCCGGGCCCCACTTCCCCAGCACCGGGACGGATTGCTTGCCTGAGGTCAGGCCTGGTGGGTGATGTGGGGACAGAGGGTTTGCCCTCCAGGTTCCCCTGGGGGCAGAAAGGATAAGTGGACAGAGGGAAATGGGCCATTTACTGGCAGGTTCATGGCGTGGCCAGCAGCGCGTCACGGCTGGGGCTTTTTCAGCCTCACCCACTGACATCTGGGACTGGATCATGCCTCGTTGCGGGGGGCAGCACCCCTGGCCTCTGCCCCTAGATGCCAGCAACACTTTCCCCCCTTCCCAGTCAAGACAATCCAAACTGTTTCTGGGCATGGCCAGTGCCCCCAGGGCAGATCACCCCTGGCCAGACTGGTGGTTTCAAGCTCAGGGTTTGGAGTCCCCTCCAGGCCCTGACCACTGGAAAGTCACCAAACCTCCCTGGCCTCCACTTTCTAGTCTAAAAATGGGGCGATCACGGCACCATGGGTGCACGATCTCATGTGATCATTGAAGGCAAGAGATGACGCCAGCATCCGGCGCAGTGAGCGCCCTGAGTGAGGGCACACAAGTGACCAGACGTCCAGGCAGCCTGGTTCCGCTCTTGGCCTTTTACTGGGTGCCCTTGGGTCTTTTTGGAGAGAATGATAGGTCCTGCCCGGAGGCATAAGTGCTCAATCTCCCTAAAAGTCGGCACTGTAGTTGGGGCCGCCTCCCCAGAGAGGAAGCTCCCAGGCATTGATGGGATTTGATCTGAGCCTTGGGACTTGGAGAAAGGGGAAGAAAAAGGCCTTTCAGATGAGAAGGTCGAGGGAAGGAACTCGGAGGAGAGGGCCTACTGTGAAGCACGGGTCTCCTTATCCCAAGGCCTTTGGGGGTCCGTGTGCCTCCCTTTGCATGGGAGCCTTCCCATTGGTAACTGGATCTCAGCCTCGGAGGAGTTTTTACCCCACAGAAACTGGCAAACGCTCGGAGCAGCCTCCCCTGAACCCCACCCAGGGCCCGAGCACCATGTGCCGGTTCTCCCTCCCGCCCCCAATTACATCTTCAGAGTGCTGTGTCCTGTGTCCGATTTGCCGGTGTACTGAAAGAGAAGGTGATTTCAAAATCCTTAGCAACTTAATGCTGTTGTCTCCCCGTTCTGCCCATGGGAAGGAGGCTCTGGACCCGGGGTACAGGGGTGAGTCACCCTGCATCCCTACGATCTAGGGCTCGTTTGTGGGGGCGATGTGTGAACACAGTCAAAGGTGTTCTGTGTGCCGTGATGGCAGGGGTGGTTCCCCTCCAGGCAGGTCAGGAGAGGGCTGGGGGAGGAATGGTATTAGATGTGCATTTCAGAAGCAGTGAGCTCCGTGTCTGAGGAGATAGCCAAGCAAAAAGGGGGCAAGAGGGCAGATTTTGGTAGTGTCATTAAGGAGGTTTCAGTGCACGGCCCCGTTCCCTCCAGTACCCCTCCCGGTTCTAATCTGTGACCCACATCATTGAGGTTTGGTCTGTGGGAGGGCTAAGGATAATAGCCTCAAATGAGGCCCAGCTGAAAAAAAAAAAATCTCATTAAAAACAAAAAGCGCATCTGCCTGTAAGTATCTGAATGGATGTCTTGAGAAGAAGGTTATAATTTTTTTTTAATTTCTAGCGCATGTGTGATGCCAAGTCTGAAAGCTCCCTCATCCTTAGTCTCCTGCAGCTCCAGAGCCCTCGATGGATAAAGCAGCTGTCTCCTTGCCAGACAGATGCATGCAGAGCGGCACCAGCCTGCCAGCTTCCCTCCGCCTGACTGCGTTGCTTTCTAATTTGCTTCCACATTGGTTGAAAATGACTAAAGCATTTTGCACAAAGTCCAGACAATTCTCAAGTCAACTTGCATTTAAGCGATCGTCAGAAATCTCCTGCTCTGTGACCCCAGACTTGGGCCATTACTAGGTTTGCTATCTTGGTTGATTTTGACAACCAGAGTCTTCTTCAAAGCCCATATTCTTCTCAGAGAGGCACTTTCCCTGGATTAGGGGTGACAATGACTGATTACACTCACAGCATCCCAAATGCCAAATTAATGACGTTCTGCCCTGCAGACGGGATGACTCAATCCGTGCTGCAGTGATGACCTGGTGGGAGGAGAGCCCTCAAGCGTGGTGTCTCATTGGGATATGGGAGCTGGTCCTTCCTGGTGACCTTGAGAGCCGGTCCTCACTGCAGACAGGGGCTGTGAGCGTTTGACCTCAGCTAGGCCAGGCAACTATGCCCCTTCGAAGGCCCCCTTCAGCTCTGGGTTCTGCATTGAAGGAGCTCCTTTCTTGCACACGTGTGTATGACCCCCACTATGGACCAGGCCCCTGGCTGGGGGTATGGCAGTGAATAGATAGGTGCAGCTGCTGTCCCACAACCTGCTGTCATCCCAAGCAAGCAGAGGGCAGGATTAGGGGCAAGTGGCTGCATGTATACGCCTATGTGCTCCCACCCTTCCTTCCCGCTAGATTCTTTCTTCAGACTGGGCCTGTGTGTTCCCATCCCACCTTCCAGCTAGAACCTTTCTTCAAACTGGGCCATCCTTTCTCTCATAGCACAATAGCCATGTCTCCTTTTGAGGAGTGTGCTGGGTTTGGAGGTAGGATGTGGCACCCTTTGGTTGTGACTACTCTTTCCTGGCTCTCTGGGTTTGGAGGGAGGCCACGACACCCTTTGGTTGTGACTACTGTTTCCTGGCTCTTTCAGCTCCTTCTCCTGAGGACCAGGAAATTCCAAGTTGGGGAACAGCTTCCCGCCCAAGGAGCCTGCTCCACCCCACTTTGGAAGTACTCGCTGGGTCTTTAGAGGGCTCACTGGGTCTTTGGAGTACTCGCTGGGTCTTTGGAGTACTCGCTGGGTCTTTGGAAGTGCTCGCTGGGTCTTTGGAAGTGCTCGCTGGGTCTTTGGAGTACTCGCTGGGTCTTTGGAAGTGCTCACTGGGTCTTTGGAGTACTCACTGGGTCTTTGGAGTACTCGCTGGGTCTTTGGAGTACTCACTGGGTCTTTGGAAGTGCTCGCTGGGTCTTTGGAAGTGCTCGCTGGGTCTTTGGAGTACTCGCTGGGTCTTTGGAGTGCTCCCTGGGTCTTGGGAGTACTCGCTGGGTCTTTGGAGTGCTCGCTGGGTCTTTGGAAGTGCTCGCTGGGTCTTTGGAGTACTCGCTGGGTCTTTGGAAGTGCTCGCTGGGTCTTTGGAAGTGCTCGCTGGGTCTTTGGA